ACCAAGGAGTTGAATACTCACTTCTCCAAAAAGAGATATATATGGCCAATAATGAGTACATAAAAAGGTACTCAACATCATTAATCATTAAAAAAATACAAACCAAAACTACAGTGAGACACTCTTCACACCCGTTAGGATGGCTATTATCAAAAGAAAAAAAACCCCAGAATATAGTAAGTGTTGGTGAGGGTATGGAGAAATTGGAATCCTTGTGCATTGCTGGAGGGAATGTAAAATGGTGCAGCCACTGAGAACAGTATAAGAATTTTTCCTCAAAAAATTAAAAACTTAATTACCATATGATCCAGTATGTCTACTTCTAGGTAGACACACAAAAGAACTGAAAGCAAGGTTTCAAAGACATATATGTACAGCCATGTTCACAGGAGCATTATTCACAGTAGCCAAAAGATGGAAACAACTCAAATGTCCTTCAACAGATAAATGGATAAACAAAGTGTGGTATAAATACACAATGAAATATTATTCAGCCTTCAAAATGAATGAAATTCTGATATAGAGTACAAGGATGAACCATTAAAATATATGCTGAGTTAAATAATCCAGACACAAAAAAATATTGTGTGCTTTCACTTACGTGAGCAGCACCTAAAACAGTCAAATTCATAGAGACAGAAAGTAGCATAATGGTTACAGGATGAAGGGAGGGTGGATGGCTAACTATCATTTAGTGGGTTCAGAGTTTTAAGTTTAGGGTGATTAAAAATTTCTGGCAATGGATAGTGGTGATGGTTGCACAATAATGTGAATGTACTAAAAATGGTTAAAATCATCATAAAATTTTATCTTTTTTTAAAGATTTTACTTATTTGAGAGAGAGAGAATGTGAGAGAACACGAGAGGGGGGAGGGTCAGAGAGAGAAGCAGACTCCCCACTGAATAGGGAGCCTGACGTGGGGCTCAATCCCAGGACTCCAGGATCATGAACTGAGCCAAAGGGAGACACTTAATCGACTGAGCCACCCAGGTTCCCCCAGTGGTAAATTTTATCTTTTGTATAATTGTAGAATGGAAACAAATTTGTTGCTCATGAGTCAGTAAATGTTGAAGTCATGGTATGGATATGGGTGCTCAAAAAAAAAAAATTAAGAGATGATCAAGGACAGAATCTAACTTTAAAAAGACAAGTGGAAAAACATTTCATGAATGTTTTTGTTGCTCTTATTATTTGTTTTATTTCTAATTAGAGGATCAGAATTAGAAAAATGAGAGTGGTCTCAAGGAAGCCAAGGAAGTTGTCAAGAATGCAGTTGTGATAGGCTTCTGAAAAGAAAGGTGAAGAACACAACTCTTCCTTCTCATGTAAAGATGACAATGAATAAAATCATATTTATATTTATAACATTTATACATAATATAAAAAATATGTCCCAAGAGTATACAGTAAAAAATAATGCCCTTCTTTGTCCCTACACACCCTCTTGCCCTCAATGGCTGCCACAGAAATCACTTTTATTAGTTTCTTTTGCAAATTTCAGTTCTTTATGCAAACACAAATATTTATTCTTACCTGTTTCCCCCCTTTCCTATACAAAAAGTAGAACAGTATCACATAAGGTTCTGCATGGTGTTTTTGTTTTCATTAATATATTCTGGAGGCTTTCTGTATCAGGCCATAGACAGTGTTCTCGGTTTTTTCTCCAATTACATAACGTTGCATTATGTTCAATGGTTTATTTATGGTTAATCTTCACTACTGTGAAGACTGCTATATGAATAATCTTGGATATACATCATAACTGTAGGATAAAATCTCAGAAGTGGGATTGCTCAGTGAAAAGTTAAATGCAATTGGGATTTTGAAAGATGCTGCCAAATTGCCTTCCAAAAAGTTTGTACCAATCTGCAGTCCCTCTAGGAATATAGGTTTTCAAATCTGGGGAATTTTTGCCATTCTAGTCCGTAAGAATCAATATTTCTATATAGTTTTAATGAAATTTATCTGATTATGAATGAGGTTGAGCATATTTTCATACATTTGAGAACATGTAGACTATGTTCTGTGTATTATTTGTTAATCTTTCTCCATTCTTACTGGGTTATTAGTCTTTTAATCAATTTTTTTTGGTGCTCCTTATATATTAGGTAAGTTAGCCATTTGTTTCTAACTATAAAATGCAAATATGTTTCCAGTTTGCCACTTTAACTTTTTTTTCCACTTAGAAAGGATAATTAATCTTTTATGGTTTGATTTTTAGAATCTGAAGTTAGAAAGGCCTTCCCCCCTCCATGGTTATAAAGTAATTCACTCAAGTTTTCAGTCTGTATTTATAATTTGTATTTTGTTTCAATTTTAAATTTTGACCATTTGGAGTTAACTCTGCATTCAGTACAGGTCATAATCCACTCTTTTTTCTAGAAAGTCTGTCAAGTTGTCCCTATTACCTTTGTTGAAAAGTTCACATTTTCCCCATTCACCTGAGGGGTAATCTGAGATGCCCCATTCACCATACACTAAAATTCTTTATTTAGGTCTATTTTTGGATTCTCTATTCTGTTCCACTGGTCTGTCCAGTCAGATGACAATCCCATATTATTTAAATTTTTGAACTTTTAGAATATGTTTTGTTATCATAAGATTAGCCCCATGTGCCCCACATTGCTTTTTTCTTCCAGTCTATTCTTGCCTTTGTTTTTACATTTGAACTTTACTTTTTTTAAAAAATATTTATTTAAGGGGTGCCTGGGTGGCTCAGTTGGTTGAGCGACTGCCTTCGGCTCGGGTCATGATCCTGGGGTCCTGGGATCGAGCCCTGCGTCAGGCTCCCTGCTCAGTGGGGAGCCTGCTTCTCCCTCTCCCTCTGCCTGCTGCTCCCCCTGCTTGTGCTCTCTCTGTCAAATAAATAAAATCTTTAAAAAATAAATAAATAAATAAATAACATTTATTTATTTAAGTAATCTCTACACTCAACATTGGGTTTGAACTCATGACCCCAAGATCAAGAGTCATTTGCTCTTCTGACTGAGGCAGCCAGGCAACCCTCCATTTGAACTTTAGAGTAACTCTTACCTATTTGGGAAAGATATTATTTTCAGTGGGATGTTAAATTCATAAATTAATTTAAATGACATGTTTATAATGAAGGATTTCTATTCAAGAATATGGTATAACTTTTCACTTAAATCTTTTTTTGTGTATCTCCATAGGGACTTAAATTTTTTCTTAAACAGGTCTTATTTATTTCTTGCTAAGATTATCCTGAAGAATTTTATCCTATTTCAAGGTTTTGTTTGTATATACAAAATTTACTTACACGAATTTTAGACCCAACCTTACTTTCTCCTTTTATTTAAAATTATGTTGGGCACCTGGCTGGCTCAGTCAGTGGAATATGTAACTCTTGATCTCTGGGCTGTGAGTTTGGGCCTCACAATGGGTGTAGATTACTTAAAAACAAAATCTTCAAAAAAATAAAATATAATAAAATTATATTAAAAGCATCTGTAGTAAATTACTTGGAGAAAGCACCTTTGCAATTAGGAGCAACCTATTTTTATAACCAACAAAATCCACCTGGCCTAGGGGTAACCCGAGGGAATTACTAGTTTATCTGATTAGGCTCCTTGAGAAACTTTAAACTTTTATTCCTTGATCTAAGGTCAGTTATTTCTTAAGAAAATGGGAATAACACTAATTCACTTTTCCGCTATTTGCAATGGTCGACATTACCCTTCAAACATTCTTAGTCCAGGATTTCACAAGTCAGCTCCCTTACACCTACACCCCTCCCTCAGGACATTAAAAGAACACAGAAGCCTGAACTGCTTTGTCTCTAGGGTCTGTACTCTAAGCAAGAGCTAGCACCCCATTAAAAAAAAAAAAAAAGAAAAATAGTTCCCTTCAAATAGACTTTCTCTTTTAAGAAAACAACTCTATTTTTATTTCAATTCCATAATAATGCTACTGTTTTTAAACAAAAGTCAAGCTTTAGCTCACTGATCAGCTCAATTATGTAAACTTGCTCCCATTAAAAAAAAAAAAAGATGTCCTAGGAAAATCTATCCTTGTTACTGTTTTACCATTGTGGCTCAGCGATTACTCTCCAAGATACAATCCCAGTCATACATACAGTGATACTTATTTAAATTACCCACCACACACACACACACACACACAATCCTGAGTCCCGTTTCTCCCTCTTTCCCCGACCCCCAACATCCCAAATCACACACACCGGGAATCTCATTACTTGCTTCCTGCAAAGGCTGTCTCACCGCCTCACCATTCTCCTCAGGCCCTGACTTTCGTTCAGAAACCAGTAGCACAGAAAAATATCAGCCCCCTTCGCAACGTCGGAAACCCCTCCCTTTTGGCCTCTGCAACCCCGTTTCATGTTTAGCGATACCTCCCTCCGGACCTCCCCAATCCCATCGCAACTTTCTCATCTCCTTCCTTTCGGCCACCCCAGCTTTGTTTCAGAAGTTCAGGTCCCACAACTCCTCCAAAGTGAGGAAACACAAGCCAAACTCACGCCCGAACAAACGCCGAAAGCGCAACCCAAGAAGCCTGCGCACCCCTTGGACGCAGTGACACTCCCAGAAGTCTCTGGGGGTGTAGCCCGGAGCAAGCTGTGAAGAATCACGACGAATTTCAAATGGTCCATCCACCGCTTTCCCGGCTCCGAACTACATTTCCCAGAAGGCTCAACGGTGCGAATAGTCTTACCTAAACCAAACCAGCCCTCTTCCTGAGCCCGTTTTCTGAGGATAATAAGGTGGATCCGAGAAGCAATCCTATTTCAAACACGTCGGAGTGGCCTTCCTTGGAGGCCACTGTCTAAGACTGAACCAGGCTCTGCGTGGCCTCCGGTGCGCGGTTCCATAAGGGGGAGCAATCCTTTAAGCAAGCGGGGTTGCAGCTAACCCTGGATAGAAAGCCTGGCGACTGGGAACCATCTTGCTCGCCATAGGTAATTTTTTGACTACATTTCCCAGAGGGCTCCTCGGCATCATTGTAATTCTCGCGTGAATTCAGCCTCAAAGTCACGCGCTGGCGGGACCTTCAGGTCTACACCGGCAACTGTTGCAGCGCCCTGCGGGCTACTGCTGTTTTGGAAGCTTGGAAGGCCTGAGGTGAGGATCCCCAGGAGAGGGTGGAGCCAGAGGCTCGGCTTTGTACGGCGGGGTAGGTTAGATTGAAATTGTAGGATTGTGTCTGGCGGTATGTGGTGAATGACCGTGTGGTTGTGACTAGCTGTTCCTATGGTGAGTGTGTGCTTCCAGTGATTACCAGTGTGCAGCACAGTCTGGGAGCCCGTGACTGTGCTGGTATGATTGGATGGGACCCGGTGGTGTGTGTGTGTTTGGGACCACGTGCGGCATTGTTTGTGAGAGTGTGGGGAGCTTGTGACTCCGTGGATGTGCGTTTGTCCCCGTAAGGGTGTGTGATTATGCGACATTGTGACCGTGTGCTGCAGAGTACAGGTGGGGGTACCTGTGAATACTATGTGGTTTTATCTGTGGTTAGTGTCATTGTGACTGTGCGACCATCTGCAGGTGTCAGGTACTTCTGACAGTGTGGTTGTGACTGAATGTCCTCTTGGTAAATGTGTGATTGTGCCCATGTGACCATTTGAGGCCCTGGGTGTGTGGCCCTGTTGCTTTGGTTGTGGGTTACCTCTAGCTGTATGTCCCCGTGGTGGTTGTGTGACTGCTTGGTGAGTGGATAAATGTATGAGGTTTTTTCACTTAGGTTGTCTACCTAAGTATTACACTGTAGTTTTCCCTCATTTTAAAACTTCTACAAATGCTATCATATTGTCTTTTTTCTTTTTATTTTGTTTATTTGTACAACTGTGTTTTTGAGAATTGTCATATTAGGTATAGTAGTGGTTCATTTGTTTTCTTTGCTATATTGTATTCTGTCCTTTGAAGTATACCACTGTTGTTCATCCCTTCAGTCAATGATGGGCATTTGAGCCATTTCTAGTTTCTGACTTTATTAACAGTGCTGCCACAGCATTCTTTTACAAAGGATACGTGTGCATGAATTTATCTACCAGACAATGGAATTTCTGGGTCATATATCTTGCACTTTACTAAATAGTACCAAAATAATTACCTAAGTGGGTGCACAAATTTATGCTTGCACGGTAATGTTTGAAACATCTCATTGCTCCATGTCCCTGCCAAAACATGGTTCTGATAGTTTTTTAAAAAAACATTTTTATGAGATATAGCATATATAAAGTACACAAATCTTAAGAATAGAGCTGTATCACAATTTCCTAAATTAACATTAAGAACTTTGGCAGCGCCCCCAGAAGATTCCCTCATACCCCTTCCCAGTTATTTCTCCCACAATCGTTATTCAGAAGTCTTATCACCATTAATGACCCATTCCTGAACTTCTTTATAAATGGAATTGTATAGCATGTGCTCTTTTATGCCTGGTCTCTTTTCTTACACATTATGTCTGAGACTCATCCATGTTGTTAAGTGTCATTGTTCGAAGTTCTCTTTACATATGGGATATATTGCAATTTATTAATTGCTTACACTATTGATGGACATTTGATAGTTAACATTTCTTTGGCTATTACAAACTGTATTGCTGCTATGAACATTCTGTTTTTGGTGAACATGTAAATACTTTTCTGTTAGCTAAATACTTAGGGGTAGAATTGCTAGATCATACAGTGGGCATATATTTAATAAATACTACCAATTTGTCATGTGGTTGTACCAACTCATCTAGCAATATATGAGTTTCAGTTGCTCCTCATCGTCTCTGTTTGATATTGTCAGTCTTTTATTTTAACTATTCTGGTGGGATAGTTAAAATAGTGGAATTTCATCGCAGTTTTAATTTGTATTTCCCTGATGGGTAATGATGTTCAGCACCTTTTCATAGGTTTATTGGCCATTTGGATATCCTGGTTTTTAAAGTGTCTGTTTAGGTCTTTTTGCCCACTGCCCTTTAAAAAATTTTTTTTTCATTTTAAAACACTTTTTATTTTTATATTGTAAGTATAATGTAAAGAATTCCTATATATTCTTCACTCAGGTGCACTTGGTACAATGAGGAAAATCAAGAAATCTACTGACTCATTTACAGACTTTATTTAAATTTTGCTAATTGTCTTATCAGTGCCCTGTTCTTTTTCAGGATCCAATTGAAGGTTTCCACATTGATTTAATTGTCTTATCTCTTCCCATGAGACATAGTTCTTTTTTTTTTTAAGATTTTATTTATTTCAGAGAGAGAGAGAGCACACGCGTGCACAAGTGGGGGGAGGGGCAGAGGCAGAGGGAGAAGCAGGCTCCCCACCAAACAGGGAGCCTGGTGCGGGGCTAGATCCCAGGACCCTGAAATCATGACCTGAGCCAAAAGCAGTTGCTTAACCAACTGAGCCACCCAGGGGCCCCCAGACATAGTTCTTTAGTCTTTTTTAGCTTTCCTGACCTTGACACTTCTGAAGAGTACTGGCCAGTTATTTTGTAGACTATCATTCCATTTGGATTTGTCTGCTTTTTCCCTCATGGTTAAATTTAGACTATGCATTTTTAGCTAAAAGATTACAGAAACTATGTTTGTCTTCCTCTCAATGTGTCATAGAATGTTATCAATATATTTCATTACTGGTAATGTTAACTATGATCACTTGGTTGAGGGGGTATCTGCCAGGTTTCTCCTTTGTAAAACTACGATTTTTCTCTTTTTAATTAATAAGTATCTTGTGGAGAGATGCTTTGAGACTATGCAAAAATACTGTCCTCATGGGTGTGCCTGATTGGCACAGTCAGAAGAACTTGGGACTCTTGATCTTGGAATCATGAGTTTGAGCCCCACTTCGGGGTATAGAGATTACTTAAATAAACTTAAAAAAGATGTTCTCATCATACTTTCACCCATTAACTTTAACATGCATTGATCATTCTTGTCTGTAACAATTGTTACTGTGATGTTTGCCTATTGGTGATTTTCTCTTTACATCATTCCTTCTATATTTATTAATTTATTCTGTAAAGAGCTGTCCTTTATTCCTCATGTGTTTATTCAATTATTTATTAACTCGGGTATTTATTTTACTCTATGAGTTTTAATCCATTAGTATTGTTATATATTTTGCTCAAATTGTCCCAGATTGGGCCATTAGGAATGCCTTCAAATTAGCTCCTGTGTCCTTTTAACATGGCATCATTTTTGAGTACATTCTTATGCTTATGTATATCTTTTCCCATTTTCCTAGAAGGTTTTTAGCCCTTTGTCTTTTATGATTAGTGCTTTTTTTTGTATCTTGAAAAGAAATCTTTATTTCCAAGTTCCTGAAGATATTCTCCTGTTTTCTTTTGGAAGCTTTATAGATTTAGCATTCGTATTTAAGTCTATGGTCCATCTTGAATTAATTTTTGTGTATGGTATTTATGGAAAACACCATCCTTGCCCATCTGAATTACAGGAGGCTTTTATCATAAGTTAGGTGACATATATGTGGCCCTCTTTCTGGACCATATTCTGTTTTATTATCTTTTTGTCAGTGCCACTGTCTTGAAATCTATAGTATTAGTCCTTCAACCTTTTTTCTTTTCTTTTTCAAGAATGTCTTGGCTTTTTAAAGTCCTTTTAATGGATGTCAGAATCAACTTGTTAATTCTTTTAATTCTTTTTTTTAAGATTTTATTTATTTATTTGAGAGAGAGAGTAAGAGAGAGATCATGAGCAGGGGGAGAGGCAGACTCCCCACTGAGCAGGGAGCCTGATGCAGGACTCGATCCCAGGACTCTGCAATCATGACCTGAGCCTAAGACAGATGCTTAACCGACTGAGCCACCCAGGCGCCCTCAACTTGTTAATTCTCACAAAAAATGAAAAATCGTTTCTGGGGTTTTGTGTGTGAGTCTATATGTTACTTTGGGAAGAATTGCCATCCTATCAATATTGAATCTTCCAGTTAATAAATGTGGCGTATGCCTACATTTGTTAAGATCTTTAATTTCTCTCAACACTTTGTTGTAGTTTTCAGCGCACATCTTTTGTTAGATTTGTACCTGGATATTTGACATTTATTGTTGAAACTGTACATGGTTTTAAATTTTTTTTCATTTTCCAGTTGTCTGTTGCTAGAAGTACAGTTGTTTTTTGTATATTGTCCTTGTATCTAGCATCTACAAAATACCTACTGTATATGCTATTTATCAAGTTGAGGAAGTTCTTTCTCATTTGCTAAGATTTTTACATTAATGAGGTCTGAGTTTGGCAAATGCATTTTCTCTATCAAGAGGATCATATGTTTTTTACTGTTATCATCAATGTGGTACATTATCTTAATTTTCATATCTTGAACCAACCTTTCGTTCCTGAAGTAAACCCTACTTTCCATAATGTATTAAACTTTTTAAGAATTCGACTGGGTTAGATCTGCTAATACTTTATAGAATTTCTGCATTTATGTTCATGAGAAATATTGGCCCATAATTTTCTTTTCTTTTAATATCTTTGTTTTGGCATCAGGCTTATATTAGCCTCATAAAATGAGTTAGAAAGAATTCCCTGTGTTTTTCTATTCACTACATTTAAGACTAAAGGTTTTCCTTAAATTTGGAAGAATTCACTGATGAAGCTCTCTGGGCCTGAAATTTTCTTGATAGGAAGATTTTTATTTTATTTATTTAGAGAGGCTTAAGCAGAGGGACGAGCAGAGGGGGGAGGGTGAGGAGGGGGAAAGAATCCCAAGTAGACTCCATGCTGAGCACAGAGCCCAACACTGGAGCTCGGTCTCAGGACCTTGAGATCATGACCTGAGCTGAAACCAAGAGTCAAATGCCTAACTGACTGAGCCACCCAGGCACCCTGGAGATTTTTAAACTATGGAATCAATTTACCTCTTCAGATGTTTCAGGTTTTTTGTTTGTTTTGTCCATTTTGGCATGTTTTTAAAAATCTGTTTCATCTAAGCTTTCAAATTTAATAGGATAAAGTTATTAGTATTCTCTTACTATGTTTTTAATGTCTATGGTGTCTATAATGATGTTCTCTTTTTCATTCCTGCTTTTGTTTATTTGTGTTACCCCTTTCTTATTCATTAATGTGTCTTTTCTGGGTACTGTCAAGCCTTTTTTTCTCTGATTGTGGCTTTGCTTTTTGTTTTGTGTGTTTTCCTTTTTATTTTTTATTCAGGTTTGCTGAGCTTCTTGAAAATTTTGTTGAGGCTTTTTATCAGTTAATCAGTTCAGATATTAATTATTCTCCCATCTCTTTTCTTCTTCAGAGGCTCCACTTACATATATGGTAAATCTTTTGACTGTGTCCCTTTTGTCTTACACTCACTTCTGTTCTTTCTGTTCTATTTTTTTTTAATTTTATTTATTTTAGAGAGAGAGTGAGAAAGAGCATGAGAGGGGAGACGGTCAGAGGGTGAAGCAGACTCCCCCATTGAGCAGGGAGCCCAATGCGGGACTCGATCCCAGGACTCTAGGATCATGACCTGAGCCGAAGGCAGTCGCTTAACCAACTGAGTCACCCAGGCGCCCGTTTCTGTTCTATTTTTCCTCTGCACTTCATGTGGGGCTTTTTTTTGTTTTTGACTTGTCTTTGAGTTCAGTATTCCTATCCATTGCTTGTTTGGTCTTATGTTAAAACCATACAATGACTTCTTAATTTTTTTAAGTTTATATTTTATTATTTTTTTAAAGATTTTCTTTATTTATTTGTTAGAGAGAGAGGAAGAGAGAGCACAAGCAGGGGGAGCAGCAGGCAGAGGGAGAAGCAGGCTCCCTGCTGAGCAAGGAGTCCGATGCGGGACTCGAATCCAGGACCCTGGAATCATGACCTGAGCTGAAGGCAGACACTTAACTGACTGAGCCACACAGGCATCCCTATTTTATTTTATTTTTTTAGTAATCTCTACACCCAACATGGGGCTCAAACTCACGACCCCAAGATCAAGAGTCGCATGCTCTTCTGCTTGAGCCAGCCAGGTGCCCCAACTTCCTAATTTCTTAATTTACTGATCTAGGTTGTCTATTTGATTCTTTTTTATAGATTTCAATTCTGTTTAATTTCTTCATCTTAGCCATTTGCCTATATTTTTTAGTTTTTAACATTTTAATTATAGCTATTTTAAATTGTTTGCCAGTTCTAGTATCTGAATCATCCATAGTACTGCTTCTATTTTCTGGTTTTCTCTCCAAGCACGTCTAGCAATTTTTAGTTGAGTGATAGATATTGTGTCTAAAACAACCATGGAGGCCAAGGGCAGCCAATACCTACATCTAGCCTTCTCATTATAAAGAAAAATGAGTGCTTTTCAGGTCTTTGTTAACTAACAAATACAATTCTCAGCATACAGGAAATTTTTAGGATAATGTTGGAAATAAATCAGATATTATATTTTTATTAAAAGAATGGCTTATTCTTTAGAAGAGTGCAAAATTCTCAAAAATTTTATTAACTAGATTTCAAAGGACTCTCTTGTCTGTAGTGGTATCTTTTGGCAGTGCTCCTGCCCAAGGTGTGGTTATTTTGCAAGTATACTACAGTCTTGGCCCCAGAAATCATTGGCTTTAAAAGGGAGGAGCAGATTCCCCAGATGGCAAGAATTCAGCCAGAGAATATACTCTAGGAGCAAACATGAAGAGGGTTGGGAATGTAACAAACAGTATGGAGCTGTTGAAGTAAGAATGTTTCTTGCCCTTTCTATCTGGAAGGTGCCGCACTTGAGGATGCCCCTTTAACCAGGAAAGGCCATTACGAGAGACCAGAAAGGGAGACTTAAAAGTGAGAAGTATGGGAGAAGAAGCCCTGTTTCCAAGTCTTCCTAGATTATTACTGATTCTTTAGAATCTAGCACAATGCCTGCCACATAATAGATTATGTTGGTTTATAATGAAAAAAATACTAAGAGCTTAATAAATAGTAATAATAAAAATATTAAAGGAGTGCTTTCAGATTTAAAGAAGAGACATTTGTAAATTACTTCGTTTCCTGAAATGTATATATCCCTGGGGGTGAGTGCTTGGGGGTAGAAGTATCCATTAAATAATTGATAACAAGGTTCTACTTCCTGGGTGGCCAGTTTTACATGCAATTATTTTTTTTTAAGATTTTATTTATTTGAGAGAGAGCACAAGCACTGGGGAGGGGCTGCAGGAGGGAGAAGCAGATTCCCCGCCAAGCAGGGAGCCTGATGCGTGACTTGATCCCAGGACTCTAGGATCATGACCTGAGCCTAAGGCAGGCTTAACCGACTAAGCCACCCAGGTGCCCTACATGCAATTACTGATAAATTATTTAATGACCAAGGAGCTTTGTACTAGGAATGCTCACTGCCCTTTATACTTTTATAATGCTCTTTATTATATTCCTATATCTAATATTATCTAACAAAAAACCCCATATTTCATTAAACATTTCAACCTTTATCTCAAATTCATTTACTCCCCTTAAACAATTTAGACTTCTGTTAGTATTTTAGTATAACATTCTTTTGGACATTTTAAACATCTTAAGCACACAAAATATATACAATTATTACAAATTTTATTACTACACTTACAATTAAAAGCATTCTAAAGCATCAGTGATAAGGATTTAGTCCATTTCTACAGTTTTTAATTCATTCCTGTTGTTAATTTAAGTATCTTCCTAAAGTTTTGGTAATATTGCTTTGTTTCCTTTTCTGGATTTCACTTTTCTTAAGCTAAAATTCACTAACCCCAAAAAGTCTTCTCAAACTGGGCAAGATTAGAGAATCTGGTTCATCAACCAGTTGTTTCTTTTGTTTTTTTTTTTTAAGATTTTATTTATTTATTGGACAGAGAGACATAGCGAAAGCAGGAACACAAGCAGGGGGAGTGGGAGAGGGAGAAGCAGGCTTCCTGTGGAGCAGGGAGCCTGACGCGGGGCTTGATCCCAGGACCCTGGGATCATGACCTGAGCCGAAGGCAGATGCTTAACGACTGAGCCACCCAGGCGCCCCTAACCAGTTGTTTCTTGGTCAGGACCTGGGACCTGATTGTACAATCCAAGATCATTAAAAACTGTTTTGACAAATGTACACTCAAACTAAAATGTATATGAACAACTTTTAGGAATTATTCAGAATTCATATAAAAGTAAAATGATATACATATAAGGATATTTATTACAGCATTGTTTGTTATAGTGAAAGACAGGAAATAGCCCAAATGGTCATGGGCAACAGGTTGGTTAAATAAAGTGTATCCATTTAATGAAATCAATGTAGCTAAGGGAATTACATAGCTCTATATGTACTAGTTGGGATCCAGTTCAAGATACATTAAATAAAAATAGCAGTATGTATAACAGTGTGTATAATATGCCATCATTTGTGTAAAAAAATTTGTATCTTTGTGTGTATATATACTATATTCTCCAAGCCATATCTGATTGTTGAAATCTATCCTACTCGGGGCGCCTGGGTGGCTCAGTCGTTAAGTGTCTGCCTTCGGCTCAGGTCACGATCTCAGGATCCTGGGATTGAGCCCCGCATCGGGCTCCCTGCTCCGTGGGGGGCCTGCTTCTCCCTCTCCCACTCCCCCTGCCTGGGTTCTCTCTCTCTCGCTGTGTCTCACTCTGTCAAATAAATAAATAAAATCTTTAAAAAAAAAAAAGTTAAAAAAAAAAGAAATCTATCCTACTCTAGTCAAAGACTGAGGTCTCTGGAGTCGGGCATAATGAAAGATTTGCCCATTTTTGTCATTGATACCCTCAAGTGTTTGTATGGGGTGAACAGAGGGGAATGATCATTCTGGGAGCTATGAGGCAAGTGGAATCTTATGTAGCTTCTTTTGTCTTCCCCAGTTTTGCCCTTTTCCAAGAGGAGCCCAGAGAAGGACTGGTCTTTTTCTGCAAATACCAAAGCCATGGCTCAGGTGAGATGCAGTTTCCTTTTGCTCAAATAGAATCATTTTTACCCCTAGTACATGTAAACATTTGCTTTCCTCATCATGATATTTTTGGTGTTAAAAAAAAAAACAACAACAACAAACTTTCAAACAGTTTAGTTAAAAGCAGTGTAAATGTCAAAGTTCTCTTATGCTTGCTATAAAGAAAAAGGTCTCCAGTGAGTCAATTAAAAGAATGTCTGTCTTGGTGGAATTATTTATAGAAAAAAGAACTGGTTCCATAACCATTGTTGGAAAAAAGAAATAAAGTCTGGTTAAAGATTTTTACACTCATAAATTACAGGTAACAGAGGGCCAAGTGGTTCAATAACAAGTTTCTCTGAAGATGCCTTAATCAGATTAAAATCCATCAGAAAATTACTTATGGATTCCATCAAGAATCCTTATTTGTTCCTACAAAGAGATTGTTAATTACATAATGTAAAAATGGTCTGACTAAGACCAGGTTTGGAAAAGAAAATTTTACCCTAGTTAATATGGTCCCCATTCAGGAACCTGATCCCCATTTCTTCATAAACAACCCCAAGGCCCTCCCCAGTTCCCTATTCTTTTAACCAGTGTTTACAGACTCGTTTAGTAAGTCCTTCAGCATCTTCTGTCTTAGACTTCTGCCAGAAATCTTGATAGAACAGAAATGTGTTCCCCATTTGTTAATGAATCTAATTTGCTTGGACAGTGATTGGATGGGATGGAGATAAGTAATTAGGGGCACTCATAGGGAAAAGCCCTGATCATCACAGACCTAGGTTTTCAAAGAAGAAAATACAAGGAATGGTTTTGCTTGATTTCAGTCTTAATACATGGGAAAATCTTCTGGTGTATGAGCCTTTCAGGTTTGGGGATATGATTCCTGGTTAGTAGAAAGCTGTCCTCACCAGATCATCCATGATAAATAGACTTTAGTAATGCTGTTGTGTGAATCTGGATCATCTTCCATCACTCTCCTATAGCGCAGGAACTAACGGAATTTACAGTTGAGCAGTGGGCAGTTATAAGACTGGGCCTATACTGGGGAGCTCTTTAAAAATAACCTTCAACCTCAGTGTCTGAAAACCAAAGAAAACTTGTTTTATATCCATATAATAGAATATTATTCAGTGAAAAAATACGCTTATGAAAAGAATTCGTTGTAACAAGGAATTAACTCTTTTATATAATAGTGTGAGATGAGAAAGGATCAGTCTTGAATTTAATGCAAGTTTAATTTTCCAAGATAAAAGTTTTTAAAGTCATTTTACACATTTTACAAGTGAAGTAGTGCTATTCAAATCTTACCCCATCACCAGTCCCACTCCTAAAAGGTGACTCAACTCTTGAATATGGTTTAATTGCTATCTTTTGATGAATCAGTTTTACTCTCTTGACTTACTACAGAGTAGAAGGGACGTTGTACTCTTGTATTGCACCATTTCCTCTGATTCTGTTATTAATTATACTTTTTGTCAAATCAGTAGTATACAGAATAGTATGACTGCAAATGTTGCTCACTGCTGAGCCAGCTCATACCTCTGTTCTATTACAACCTTTCATTTTTCCTGGGGTTAATTGCTTTTTTTCCCTATTTGCTTAGTTGTCCATGTTTTCCCTCTGGTCAGACACATCAGTTTGTTCTGAATGTGGAGACTGCCATCCCCATTTTCCCTTTTTCCTGCTCCCACCTGGTCTGGTTACTCTCTGGGCCTGCTGCGTAGCTTTCCCAAGATTTCCCCTTTTTTGTTTACCTGAGATTTCCTTTCACTGTTCTCCTGTGGTTAATTCACCTATTTCTTGAATACTGCATCTTCCTCTTTTTTGGTTTACTCCCTCCCTTTGGGTGGAACACATCTTCTGGTAGTTTCTAAGAAATTGTGCTGGAGTCCTTTTATATCTAGAAATGTCTTTTTTCTTTTTTTTTAAGATTTTATTTATTCATTTGACAGAAAGAGAGACAGCAAGAGAGGGAACACAAGCAGGGGGAGTGGGAGAGGGAGAAGCAGGCTTCCCACTAAGCAGGGAGCCCGATGCAGGGCTCAATCCCAGGACCCCAGGATCATGACCTGAGCTGAAGGCAGACGCTTAATGACCGAGCCACCCGGGTGCCCCTAGAAATGTCTTTTTTCAACCCTCACAACAGAATGATAGTTGAGTTATGGAATCTAGGTCAGAATTTCTTTTCTCCATTAGCATATTGAAGAATTGTTCTTATCATTTCTTGTTTTTAGTAGTGTTCTTGAGAACCTCATTGCCTCTCTGACTCTTGATGTCTTTTATATGATCTGCTCTCTGGGTACTTATAATGTCTTCTCTTTATCCCTTATTCTGAAATTTTACTCTTAGCTATTTGGGAAAAGAAGAGAGAGAAAGAGGCTCACATGTGTTGATGACTTATTGTATGGCAAGTATTATGCTAGCCATTTGTATAATTATTTCATTTAATTGGATAGTCCTCATAGCAGGATTTTGTACTTTCCCAGTTTTATCTGGGGGAGACAGAATGAACATGGAAACACAAGATTCAGTCCAGCTTATATGTTTACAGTCCTCCACTTGCATCCCAAGCATCCAGCCCTATTCTATATGCTTGCTGTTTTTCACTTCTACCTTCATTCTTTTCTTCTCTCTTTCCTTCACAAAAAAAAAAGAAAAGAAAAAAAAAAACACTTCTTTTTATTAATCAAGTCATATACATGGTTGTTGTTCCAGGAGTCAGTGGTGTTCAATGATGTGTCCATAGACTTCTCTCAGGAGGAGTGGGAATGCCTGAATGATGATCAGAGAGATTTATACAGAGATGTGATGTTGGAGAATTACAGCCACCTGGTTTCAATGGGTAAGGACATCTGTCCATAATAATTCAGATTCTGCCCTTAGAAGGTCTACTTTGTCCCATGTGAAATACCCACCTTTCAAGTAGGTATTTCTACATTCTGTGCTTAGAGGAATGTTTTTAATATTGTAGCATTAGAAAAAAGAAGCTGTGTTGAGTTATGGGGGAAGTTTCAAGTCCTCTGTTATGTTTCATAAATCTGATATACCTTTCTTTGACTCTTTCTTAATGAAGGGACTAAATTTGAATCCTGGGATATTCTCATCATAAACTTATCTCGTTACTTCTTTTGTAAGCAGGACATTCTGTTTCTAAACCAGATGTGATCTCCTTCTTGGAGCAGGGGAAAGAGCCCTGGTTGGTTGACAGAGAACTAACAAGAGACCAGTGGCCAGGTAAGTGAGGTGTGGCAGGTAATGACCCAGTTGGTCAGTGGAAAGCCTGCACCTTTGAGGTGCTATCTGGGAATCTCCCCGTAAAAGCTTTAGGCCCCTTGTACACAAGTAAGCCTTTTCAGCATGTGCTTTCAAATGACCTTACCTTTTCCCCTTACTTAATACACTCTACCTGCTTTTCTCCTCTTATACTTCTTTCTAATTCCTCTTATTCTTGCCCAGTTCTAACCTGCCAGTGACCTCCTCTACCCTAATGATATTCCTTTCTGTCCATATTTTGGATCTGATTCCTCATCACTTCTCATCCTCTTTTGTATTTAATCTTAAAAAAAGCACCACTCTCTTCTGAAATATATTTTTATTCTGTATTGCCAAACATTTATTTTCTTTAGGGTGTTTTAGATAAAGTAGCTCATATAGTCATTGCTTCATTCATACTTATAACAAACATTTACTGATTTTCGAATGTGTGAGGCACTCTGCTAGATACTGCAGAGATTAAAAAAAGGAATAAGCAATTTCAGAATGTATAGCTTAAAAGGGGCACTACAACACATCTATATATAACTTCTATAAAGTAGAACCATCATAAGAGAGGTTAAAGTAGGGAGCTCAGAAAAAATGAGGGATTAGGATATAGAAGAGAAATTGATCTGTATAGATGTCATAGAGGGAGATTTGAGTGTGCCTGTCATTAACTTTAGATAGAATGTTGGAAATAAAGGCTCTGTGCCTCCATTGAGAACTTATAGCTGGCAGTGATCAACAGAATTGGTATGCAGGAGTTTAAACAGGACAGCACATTCATTCATTCATTCAGTATATGTTTATTGAATATCTGTCGTATGCCCGGCACTATTCTCAACACTGATGTTACAGCAGTGAATAGAACATGCAAAATCTCTATTCCCAGAGCTTACCCTCCGATGCTGAGAGAGATACAAAAATAAATGAATATATGTCATGTAATAGTAAGTGCTAAAAAGAAAAAGTAGAGAAAGGGGATAGAGGATGCTATTTTATAGGATGGGGTAAGAGAAACTTTTCCAATTAGGTGACATTTTGGCAGAAACTTGAAGAAGTATAGCAGTAAATCATTATATGTGGTTACTGGAAGGAAGAACATTCCAGAGGGAGGAAGCCAGACATTCAAGGGCCCCGAAGCAGGTGTGTATTGGCTGTGTTCAAGGAGCAGCCAGGAGGCCAGTGCTTTACCATGGTTGTTTAACTATTTCAAGTAAATCCAAGACTTCATGTCATTTCACCTTTGCATAATCTCAGTATATAGTTCTAAAATATATGGACATTTTTTCCCCTTACATAACTTTAATGCCATTATCATCCCTAATAAATTTTACAATTTCTTGGTACACTGGATGGTTTTCATGTCATTATATTGAATACTGGTGAGAGTGGACATTTTCATCTTAATGGTGCTGTTGTCTTTAACTTGGTCACTACTAAGTTTACCCTTTTTATCTATTACTATCCTTACTTTTTCAGTCAGTTTTTATGGACTTTATCAAATAAAAACATCCATTTACCCATTTCCAGAAGGTGCTTTTACTTTTTAATTTTAATTTGCGTTGGCGTCTTATGTATTTTCAATGTGTTTGTAGCTCCTTAGTGATTATTGTGATTTCTGATTTTAGAAAATTAATGGTCCTCTACAAATTTTATAATACTTTATTCTGTTGTTTTTAAATTTTTCTGTAATTTGTTTTATACCATTTAAATCCATTTTAAGTTTCTTTTGCAATAAGGTATAAATTGAGAGTCTAAATCAATTAACCTCTGTCCTGCACACACACACACATTTTAGCACCATGTCGTCATTTAGCTCATTCATCATTGTTTTATCTGCCTGCTCAAAATAGGTTCTGATTTATGTTAGTTTGCATTTCAGGGCCTCTTTTTCTATTTCTTTTATCCATCTGTCCACTTATGCCTACAGAGATAGATATGCCTAGCAGAACATATTCTATATTGTCATTTTTCTTACTGGAGATTATCACAAATAACGTAACAAACTGCAGATGGAGTTTTTTCTATATTGTCATTTTTCTTATTGGAGATTATCACAAATAATGTAACAAACTGCAGACGGACATTCCAACAGTTATGAAATGAACTTTCATGGAACCATTACCCAGGTCAAGAACTACAGCACTACCAACACAGATCTCTTTGTGTCCTTTCATAGTTTTACTATCTAAGAGTGCCATTGAGCATTTTGCTTTTAAGATTCATACATAGTGCTGCTTGTAGTCAGACTTGATTCATTTCATTATATGAATATACCACAGTTTAACAGTTCTATTGTTCATTGACATTTGGACTGTTTATAGTTTTTGACCATAACAATTAGCTACTATGAACATTTTCTGTGTTTTAGAACTAGGAGAGAAGTGAATAGATCATAAGACATAATGTCTTCAGCTGCCGAATTTTCAACTTTTCTTTAATGCCTATACTAGTTTACAGTCCCACCAGCATATATGAGAGCTCTCATTATTGCACGTTTCTTAACATATGGTATTGTCACGCTTGGATTTTTTTTCCAATTGCTGAGTAGATAGTATAGTTCAGTGTGATGTTAGTTTGCATTTCCCTTTTTACTGATGCATTTGACACATTTCGTATCATTATTGGTCTCTTGAAATTCTTCTTAGTGAATTGCCTATTCAGGTCTTTTTAAAATGTCTTTCTGTTGGATTGTCTCTATTTTTCTTAATGATATGTAAGGATTCTCTATATATTTTGCTTATAAGTACATTCAGTGTTCTAAAATTGTAAATAACTTCTCTCATTCTGAAATGTCTTTTAGCTCTCTTTATGGTTTCATTTTGTGAACAGAAGTTCTTAATTTTAGTCAAATTTATCAATCTTTTGTGCTTCACACTCATTGGATCTTAAGTGAGAAATTCTTCCTCAGCTTGTTTTAGAATCTTACATAAACAGAATCACATTATCTGTACTTTTTTGTCCTCTTTAAGAAGCCTTTGCTTACCATAAGACCATGAACAGAACATGTTCTCTGTTATTTGAGGTTATAATTAGACATTAGAACATATGGATCATCCTTAGTGTCTATTACTTTTTATCCTTTTTTTCAATTTATACTGCCTTTACATGGAATTCCTTGGCTTATTTTGTATTAGTTCACTAATACATTCTTCAGCTATGACCATTTGGCTCTTCAGCCTATCCATTAAGTTTTTTATTTAAAAAAAAAGTATAGTTATTTATTTAAAAAAAAATACCGTAGGGATGCCTGTGTGGCTCAGTTGGTTAAGCATCTGCCTTCGGCTCAGGTCATGATCCTGGGGTCCAGGGATCAAGTTCCACCTCCGGCTCCTTGCTCAGCGGGGAGCCTGCATATCCCTATGCCTGCCTCTCCCCCTGCTTGTGTGCACGCACTCTCTCTCTGACAAATAAATAAAATCTTTAAAATAAATAAATAAGTAAATAAATAATACCGTATACAAAAGGGGCCCTTGGATGGCACGGTCGGTTAGGCGTCCAACTCTTGGTTTCTGCTCGGGTCATGATCTCAGGGTCCTGGATCAAGCCCCTCATCTGGCTCCAGGCTCAGCGAGGAGTCTGCCAAAGTTTCTCTCTCCCTCTCTGCCCTTCCCCACACACACTCTCTCAAATAAATAAACCTTTTTTAAAAAAAACTGTATACACAATAGGATATATAACACATAATGAACATAAAATTATAAGATAATAACATGTAAATCTCTGGACTTGCATATGCAGATTTGCTAGGAAATATACCTAGGAATGTAATTGCTGGGTCTTGGCATACATACTTACTCAGCTTTACTAGGTAATACCAAACCATTTTCCAAGTGTTTGTATCACTCTCTTTCCCTATAATTGATACTGAAAGATTTTTTTTCATTTTTTAATTATCTGATGAGTATAAAATCTTACTTTATTGTTTTAAATTAAATTTTCCTGGTTACTATTAAAGATGATTGCCTTTCCTTATTTGGCCATTATGCCATTTTGTGTAATGTGTAATGCCATTTTGATTATTTTTATATCAGGCTATTTGTCTTTTTCCTAAGATTGTAGGAATTTCTTATATATTTTGAGGATACTAATTTTTGGTCAATAACATATTTTGTAGACATCTTTTCCTGTTATAGGTTCTTTATTTACTTGATGATGTCTTCTGATGAATAGTAAGTCTATATGTTAGTGTGGTTAAATTATACATATAAAGGTTAAGTTATATATAGTTTATAAAACAGTCTACTTTTTTTTGCTATATGCTTCATATCTTTGGGTCTTTTTTTTTTCTTTTTGAAGATTTTATTTGAGTAATCTCTACACGCAACGTGGAGCTCAAATTCACATCCCTGAGATCAAGTTGCATGTTCTACTCACTGAACCAGCCAAGTGCCCCCATATCTTTGAATCTTAAACCTTTTCCTAGCCCAATTTTCCTCTATTTTTTCTTTCAAGAATTTTTATGTTTTGGCTTTCTTATTAAAGCTATATTAACATAACCAAAATTTATTTTTATGAATGGTTTGAGGTAGAGATCAGTTGTAATTTTTTGCCATATGAAAACAAATTATCTTTTCCCCATTGAATGAAAAGTCCATCCATTTTCCACTGATCCACCAATCCACATGTTCCTTCAGCATATATTAAAATTCTATGTATATATATATATGTCTCACTTATTGCATTGGCCTTTTTATCTATCCCTGTCCTAATTAGTCTTACTTTTATAAAATGTCCTGATCTCTGACAAGACAGAACCCTCCACCCTTTCCTTCAGAAGTGTTTGGTTATACTTTGTTTTCCATATAAATTTAAAAATTTACATTAAGTAAAGTTTCATTAAAAATGTTTTTTGGGGGGCACCTGGGTGGCTCAGTCAGTTAAGTGTCTGCCTTTGGCTCAGGTCATGATCTTGGGGTCCTGGGATCAAGTCCCGCATCAGGCTCCCTGCTCAGTGGGGAGCCTGCTTCTCCCTC